TACTTCCCTAATTAATAAGCTTTCCTAATTAATATTTTCTTTTTTCTTACTTCCCTATTACTTAATATATTATTTATAGAAACTATTATAGAAATAAATAGATACTATTCTATATATAAAACAAAGCCTTACTATATAGTTTAGTATATATAATTAAATAAGATTATTCTCTTAAAGTTAATAATATTATTAATATTATCTAAATAATTATAAGTATAAATTATTTATTTTTAGATAGTACTATTCAAATACTAGCTCCTAATCTATTACTTATAATTATTATAATTAGAAGTATTATTCTAATAATAATAACTATTTAATATCTATATTAAGCGAGATATATAAAATTATGAGACAGATTAAGATTACGTAAATATATTAATTCTTAGTACTAGGAAATAGCTAGTATAAAAGTTAGGTTAGTACTAAAAGACTATTAGTACTAATATATAGTTAGTACTATTAACTAATTAGTACTAAGAAGCTAATAGTATTATTAAACTACTAGTATAAACTATTTACTAGTATTATAGAAACATTTATATTAGGGAATAATTAGTATAAATATGTAATTAGTATAAAGAAATAATTAGTACTAAATAAACCTTATTTTATAGCCCTCTAAATTCAAAATTATTAGCTTTATAATATTATATATAAACTTTAATTCTATTTTATAAAGATTAATTCTTTAGGCTAGTATATAACTAGTAGAATTCTACTAGCCTTAGAAATATCTAGGAAAAAGAAAAGGCGGTTTTAGTAAGACTAGTAAAATTCTACTAGCCTTAGAAATATCTAGGAAAAAGAAAAGCGGAATTAGTATAACTAGTAAAATTCTACTAGCCTTAGAAATATCTAAGAAAAAGGAAAGCGGGATTAGTAAGACTAGTAGAATTCTACTAGCCTTAGAAATATCTAAGAAAAAGGAAAGCGGGATTAGTAAGACTAGTAGAATTCTACTAGCCTAGGAAAAAGAAAAGCGGGATTAATATAACTAGTAGATTTCTATTAGTTTTAGAAATATCTAAAGAATTAATACTAGCTTTTATAAGACTAGTAAAAATCTACTAGTTCTAGGGAAAAAGGAAAATATTATCTAGTTTCCTAAATACTAAAGTAAGGTAAGTAACTCCCGTAATTACTATATTTCTATTCCAGACTTGAGAGCCTATCTTAATTATAGAGAAAAACCTATACTTAACCTTAGAAAAGCTAATTAAGATATATAGAAAAAAATATTATATTATTTTCTTTAAAACGTAATTAGCTATATATATATCCGGTAAAATACTATTTTTAACTAATAAGCATTTACTATTTGCTTCCTATTACTACTATATTAAGTATATGCCTATAATACTAGCTAAAGAAAAGACCTTACCTAGAAATTAAAAGATAAAATTACTTATCTATTTTTCTTTTCTTAAAAGTAATAAGTAAATTATTTCCTTATTTTTCGAAAATATATAGGTTATAAATCCGTATTAAGAATATACTTTCTATTTTTAACTTTTTCTAGCTACTAAATTCTAACTTTTAGTATTTTAAATATATTTATTTTATATATTCTATTATAGATTTTCCGGTATTAGATATATAAGCTTAGATTATTTAAAGAACTATATGCCTTACTTTCTTAATATTTAAAGAATAATCTCCTATATTATAGCTATTAAGCTACCCAAAAAAAGAAGTAAAAAATTAAGTAAGCGGAAGTTTATCTTAATTAATAAGGCTTATAACCTGGCAGAGTTCTATAATATTAATATAGCCCTTATTATTTATAACTATTAGACTAGTTATTACTTTATATATAATTCTATTAATCTCAAGTCCTGGCTACTATCCAAAGAATAAATTATAAGTTACTAGCCCTAGTTTTAAAGATTATAAGGGGCATAACTAATAGGGAGTTAGTAACTATTATATCCGGTACTAGTAAACCTGCTTCTGTATAATATAAAAGCAGGGCATAGAAATCTCAAGTATTATACTAGACTAGAGCGAGTAAAGCCAGAGTAAAAGATTATAGTAAGTAAAAGAGGGAAAAATAATTAAGTCATATAACTAGAAATTTACTAAAGTTCCGTTATAACTAAATACACGCTATATACTATAATATTAATACCGGGCCTACCCTACTATACTACTAAATTAAGCCATAAATTGCAATAAATAGTAATAAGATACTAGACTTATTACCTAGTTTCTGTTTTTATCTAAATAGAATATTATTAATCTCAATCACGTGGTAATACCTCGGACTTAGTATTAATAGAAGCAATAAGCGACTTTATCTAATATATTATCTTTAAATACTTAGCGTAATCCGCGACTAGAAATAAGAATTAAATAATTAGGTAAAAATTATATTATATGGCTTCTAGCTAAAGACAAGAATAAGACTAGGATAATTATATATATTAGAGATTCTTATTACTCTAATAAAGAGCTTACTAAGGAAGACTATAATTACTTAGTATTAGTTTTAAAGATTAAGCAAGATGAGATATATTCCTTTATATAGGCTAGTATATTTAATAGATTACAAAAATTAGCCAAGTTAATAAACTATAAGTTACCTCAAAATAATAAGAAAGCAGAAATAGAAGAATTAATTACTTAATAATATTATATAATTCTCTGACTAATCTAGAAGCAGCCCTTATAGGAACATTATACCTTAAGAAAAAGAGAATAAACTACTAGTTCTATATAAGAACTAACTATATATTTAATATATAAGTCATATAACTCCGCACATATAACTTCCCTATTAAAAGCAAATCCTTTAATATATACCTCACACGCTAAAGCTACAAGTATCTCGCGTAAATATTTAATCTTTATAAATATAGAAATTGGGTTCCTATTATATTACTTATTAAAGCATGCGGAGAATATAAACTTCCTCTTCCGCAAGCTATATAAGTATAGCAGGAAATAAGCCCTATTACTAGCATATAAGAGAATACCCGGGCTAGTAGAAATAATAACTATAAAGCTCAATTACTTATATAAAGAGAACGGCAGGTAATAGAGAGAAATACTAATGCTTTAGTAAGTAACTAAATAATGCCTATACCTTAGCTAAATACATAAATACTACTCCTTATAAGTAATATTTTATCTTGGTAAGTAAACCATATAAGATAGTAAAAAGAATAAAATGAAACTACTCAGAGAGACTTTAAAGCAAATAGACAAGGGCCACTTTCTAATAATAGTACCGGTAGCCTTCTACTATAATTAGGATATTTACTTGGCTTTATAAAAATCAAGATAATTAGTTATTTAGCTACGAGAGCTTTAAGTAAAGGGTCTAGAAGTTTGGTTAGAGGCTTAATTCAAGCATATATAATATCTGGCTATACTAGACTTACTAGAGCCATAATACTCTCCTACTAGTACTATTATAAGAAGTATATATAGTGAGTATATTATAACGGACTAGCTATTACTAGAAAGAGCCCGAATAGAGGTCAAAATATAGGAGTTAGGATAATTAAGGCTAAAATAAATTTAATAATTTATGTTCTCTCAAAAAACATATTTTATTTATCTCGGATATTATTATATAAACGCAAGATACCGGAGTACCTATATTCCTATAAAGCAAAAGTCCCGTAATATACTTAACTACTTTAACTAAATTACGAGAATCTCAATATAAATTAAAATTAAGTAGTTCTAAACTCTCTTAAATAATACTTAATTATTTCTATTTCCTAGGTATTTAATCTCGTATTAAGAACTTCTATAGTAGTTTATTAAATTACTTTTAAGTCTATAATACTTTAACCCAATTTCATTTAAGTAATATATTTGCTATACTCTAATAAGTTCTTTATAACTTAAATCTCGGGCATAAATAAGAATACCTAATTCAATTCCTATATTAGTATTTTTTCAATTATTTTAATTTAAAGTAAAATAGGAATTTATATTAAAGATCTATAAACAAGAAATATTCTCAGTTATTATTACTATTATATTAGCCTCCTTAGCCATATTATGGCTAATATATATATTATGGCCTAAAATACCCGAGAACTATACCTTTATTAATTAGCCAGCCTCAAATACAATCACGTGACTATAATTGAGCCCTATATAAACTCTTTATAAAAAAATAATCTAGATCCATTTCTGGCGGGGTTTATAAGCCATCTCTAGTAAGTCAGAGTTATATAATTATAATAGAGATATTTCACGTTAATATCCCGAGGCCCCGTATACTTTACCTATATACTTTAGAATTATTAATTAGAAAGGCATTATATTTTCAATTAAATATTTCTCATAAGCTATTACTATTCTTGCTTTTCTCAGAAGAATATAAAAGATATTAGTTATAATAGAGTTTAGTAGTAAAAAGAATAAGAGAAACTTTAGAAAGCAAATTCCATAATTAATACCTAACCGGACCTATACCCGAAAGCAATAATGCTTCCGTAAATAGTAATATAGCTTGGCTAATAATTAAAAGGAAGCTAAAGTAAATTTTCCTTATCTAAACCTACCTATTACTTATTAATAAATATAGAGCGCGGGAGATTTGGCCGAGATATATTATTAGAAAGAAATATTATATATAATAATCCCTTATTAGTCTAGATAAAGGTCCTATTATTAGAAAACACAAGAGTCAGAATAGTAGTATTAAGCTCGAGAATTTATAGAGCCGCTCCTGAACCGGTATTCTATAACTTGACTATTATGTCCTTTAAAGCTAAAGCTACTTGCTTGCCGTCTGGCGAGAATATAATAGCCGTGACTTAGTAAGTATAACCCTCAAGTATCTATAGCGTGGTCCCTTTTACTATATCCCAGAGACATATTATCTAGTTATTCAAAGCTAATACTACCTGCTTACTATCCGGCGAGAATATAATAGCCCTAATTAACCGAGTATGGCCCTCAAGAGTCTAAAGCGCCATGCCCGTTATTATGCCCCAGAGTTATACTATCCCGTTATATAAAGCTAATGCTATATACTAGCCATCCGGCAAGAACATAACGGCCATTATACCGTGAATATGTCCCTCGAGCACCCGAAGCACTATCCCTATTACCGTATCCCAGAGTAGTATTATCCCGTTATATAAAGCCGACGCTACCTGCTGGCCGCCCCGCAAGAACGCAATGGCCCTAACTAAGTAAGTATGGCCCTTGAGTATCTATAGCGCGGCCCCTGTTACCGTATTCTAGAGCCGCACTATATAGTTATCTGAAGCCAATACTACTTATTTATCTTCTATTAATACCATAATAGCCATGATTCTGCAAGTATGACCTTTAACTATTTATACCGCAGTACTCATTACGATATCCCAAAGCCGCACTATCCCATTATTCAAAGCTAATACCACCTGCTTACCATCCGGCAAAAACACAACGGCTGTAACTTTGCGAGAATAGCCCTCGAGTATCTATAGTACTATCCCCGTGCCTTTATTATAGAGCCGCACGGTCCGGTCATCCGCAAACGCCACCTGCTGGCCATCCGGCGAGAACGCGACGGCCGCGACGGCCGCGACTAAAGAAGTATAACCCTCAAATATCTATAGCGTAATTCCCGTCTCTAGGTTCCAGAGCCGTATTATTTGATTATTTAAAGCTAACGCCACCTGCTAGCCGTCCGGCGAGAATATGACTGCCTCGACTCTATTACTATGTCCCTCAAGCGTCCAAAGTGCGGTCCCTGTCGCCGTGTCCCAGAGACGCACTATCTCGTTATCCGAAACTAATGCCACGTGCTGGCTGCCTAGAGAGAATATAGCAGCCATAACCGGGCGAGTATGGCCCTCGAGCTAATGCCCGGTACCTATTACCGTGTCCCAGAGCTATATTGTCTAATTATATGAGGCCGACGCTAGTAGCTTGCCGTCTGGCGAGAAGGCCAAGGCACTAACTAATAATAAATAGCCCTCGAGTATCCAAAGTACCATCCCTATTACCGTGTCCCAGAGCCGCACTGTCTCGTTATCTAAAGCAGATACTACGTGCCGACCGTCTGGCGAAAACACAATAGCCTAGATAAAGCCGGCATGGCCCTCAAGTATCTATAGGGCCGCTCCCGAGCCAGCGTCCCATAGCCGGACCGTCTTGTCCCCTAATACTAATACTAGTAGCATGCCGTCTGGCGAGAAGACTATGGCGCTAACCTAGCTCGAGTAGCCCTCGAGTATTTATAGCAAGGCATTCTAATTACTCTCGACCTCCGGTAACCTTCATATCTATTAAGGCACGTAGTCTTTAAACTACTTCTTTACTATACTTATTACTAGCGCAAATATAAGCACACTATAGTATATCTAAAAAGGAGCCTACTCAATTACTAGCCGGTTATAGAAAACGAATTGCCTTATATTATAGACAAATTCGGACAGCCGGGAACACTCACTTACCTGAATTATATATTAGCTAAATATTCGTATTATGTTAGAAGCTAGCTCACGGTAATAATAGACTCCAAAGAAATAATAGTATTAATTCCTTTAGAAACCTTCTATATCTAACCAAGAGCTTCAAGCTAATAAAGAAGATACTCTTATAGGAACTAATATACTTGATTATTATCGCGAAGCTAAGCACTGCCTTTATAAAAATATTAAATCTAGTAAAGACATATATACTAAACTTTAGGAGAAATATACTACTTTACTTAAATACTCGCAAGTTCAGTTATAAGCATGCCTGAAGTATCTAGGCTATAGATGTCTTACTTTAGAGAAGTTAATATAAGCTATATATAACTATAAGCTAATATCTAATATGCTTACTTTTTGTTTACCCAGAAGTTTGAATCCTTATACCTATTATTATTAAGGAAAAAGTCCTAAAATAAAGAGTAATAGAGATAAAGCAAGCAAGTCTAGTTCTTTGAAATATCTAAGACAAAGTATAAATCCTCTAGGGTTTAGTTAATATCCTTCTTTATAATATATAGTAGCCTGCTTAAGAAGTATATAAAAAGCAGTAAGAAAAGAATAGCTATACTTCTAAGGATATGTCTTAGTATATAATATAACTCTTTTTTCTCTTTATTTGTATATTCTGGAATAATAGAATATTCGAGAATAGTAATATAAATCTAGTTAAGGTACTTTTCCGGTACTATAATATTACTACTACTATTCTTAAGAATTATATCTAGCCTTTTAGGTATAAATTGCTTCTTCTTATAAATAAAATAATAAGTAGTTATTACCTAGATAAATAATTTACTTATATTCCGGACTAGATATTAAACTGTCTTATTACCCGGCCAGTTAGTATCCAGAGATTATTCTTGGCTAATAAGTCTTAAGTCATACTCTAGGAAAATACGGATATTATAATTAATAATTAATAGTAATATATTATAAAGAATAAAGTCGCGGTATTTGGTCTCAGGTATTTAGAAAAAGCTATATTATATTAGTATCTCAGGTCTACTTATTAAGAAGACTTATAATTGGACTATTTTTAATAATTAAGCTTTAGCTAAGAGTTAGAGAATAGTCTAAATATTATTATTATTATTATATTTATTAAGCGTATTAATTACTAGAACATACGAGAAATAGTAGCTATTACTATCTAGCTTTAATAATAGATAGAGAACAAGCTAGTACTATTAGTCCCTAAGTAACTAGTTTATAATATTACTCTATTCTATAATAGTATTATAAATATATTAATGGAAAGTAGGTATACTACTCGCAAGCTATATAATAATACTTATAATAAACTTTCTAGCGTGGCCTATATCTCTACTACTTTTTATAAAGAAAAAGCTAGCCCCAAGCCAGTTCTTCTTAAAGTATCTCCAGGTAATAGTATAAGTAATAATTAACTTTCCCGTTTTAGCTAAGCTATTTAGCTAGAAAATATACCGCTTATCTTATTTATTAGCCTATATATATATCTTATAAAGAATATTAACGCGGGTATTATTAAGGCAAATAGATTTATATTATCTATAATATAAATTAAAGAATATATTAATAACGAATAGTAAACTATTAAGCAAGTTATCTAACTATTAGTTACTAGTTAGTATTTTGTTTTTACTATAGATATAATGCAGAGAAATCCCTTATTATAGACTTACTATCCTATATAGAGATTTCGAATAAAAGTAGCCTTAAATAATTAATACTTAAATACTTATTAATCTCTTTATAAAGCTAGCAAAACGCATTTTTCATTCCCTTACTATAAATAAGCGGCATATATATATTAAAAATACCTAGTAAAAAGTAAGCCTTATTCTTTTCGCGCTTTATTTCACGCTTTTCTACCCATAACATTTACTTATTAATACTGAATTTAAATAAAGCACTTCCCTAAAGAGCCCGGAAGGCTAATCCTATTATCTTATAAACTTATTATTCTAATAACTTCTTATTACTAAGTAGCTTGCCCTCTAAAAAGAAGAATTCAACTAATAATAAAGTAATAAGCTCTTATAGTATCTAGCCCCGGATAAACTATTTACTTTCTCGAAAGGCCGCTTCCTATAACTAGGGAAATAGATTATTCTAATTATAGCTATTTATTAAAACATCTAATAAATATATATAATATTTGGCTATATTATAATACTAGTAAAATATAGAGTTAATAGCCTCTAAGAGCTCGGTATTATTCGATTTATTAATATAATAAGTATTTACCTAGAAATACTATAGACTATTATAAGTAGCTTATTCTATATAGAACTAGATCTTTTAATCTCTAGCCTTAGTATTTCTAAGACCTTTTACCAAGTCTTTAAAAATAACTTCTTTATTATTATTTCCCTAAATATACGAAAATATTATATAATATAAGATATTATTAATTAGGTCCTTAGTTAAGCCGAATTTACTATTAGTTTTAAGTTATAAAAGATATATCTCTAAGCGCGAATAATAAGAGGCTTATTTAATTATTCTAGATAAAGAAATATCTCAGATAAACTTATATGAATTTCAAGAGCAAGCTATAGGTAAGAAAGTAGGGCTAGTAAAATACTAAGGACCCAATATTAGAGTATAGGTAGTTTATGCCTGAAATATTAGGTAATAATTAATTAAAGTTAATAATTGCGCCCTTAATACTTCTTTATAGTTTAAAGCTATAGCTATACTTTCGAAAATTAATCTAGCTATAGCTATTCTTAATTAATTCGGTTATTTAAAAAGCAATACCTATATTACTCTTTCTAGACTAAGCGAAATGCCCGAGACTACCTTATAGTATTATAACTATAGCTATCTATTAATCTAATAAAAAGGCACTAAATAATAATACCTTACTTCTTAGGAAAAGAAAGCACTAGTTAATTATATGCTATAAATAGCTAATAATAGATACCCTTTACCTATTAAGTTTATAAGGACCTTAGTACTTATTATTATATATTAATACGCGTTAATTTTCCATACTCCTATAACTAATAGTAATGAGATTTAACTACCCGGAAAGAACTAGCCCCAAGCCTTCTATAAACGCTACCTAAAGTACCCCAGAAGAAAAGAGCTAAATAATAACGTTAAAGATAAAGAGCCTATACCGCCTAAATATTAATCCCGTTTCCCCATATATCTCTTCTAACCAAGTTAATAAAATTAAACTATATATTATATAATACTAATTTCAAGTAATATACCATAAGACTATACCATAACATTTCTCTATATAATTTAGTAAATATATCTGATATAAAAGCATAGATTTCTTGCCTATAGATTACTAAACTTACTAAACCTCTCATTTACGTAACTATCTTAATTACTAAATATATAAGTATATAAAAATAAGAAGAAAGAACTATAGATATCCAAGGTTATATATTTGGATTAATAAAAGATATATAGTACTACCGCTAATTTATACCCAAATACCTAATAATAGAGGGAGAAAGAAGGAAAATAAAAGGTCAAGCCATATAGCTATATACTCTAAATATATTATTAAAGTATTAGAATATAGTTCCATAAATATACTCTATATAATTCTAAAAATATATCTTATACTCGAGAGATATTTAATAGATTTTATACTCAAGCAGATTTCCTTCTTTAATATTAGCTAAATACTTCCGCTTAAAGTACTTTATTAAGTCTCCTGGCTTAGTAAACTTATAGGTACGCTTTTCGAATAGCAAGCTCTATTTCCCTAAGTAAAGGAAGTAGGTAATAGTTCTCTTTTCTATAAATACTAATAATATAGTATCCCTTAATACTTGCTTCTCGGCCTTAGTAGCTACCAGCTACGGGTTAGCCTCCTTTAATAGTATTGGACTTGCCCTTTACGTAGATAGCCTCGCATGCGGTCAGGTAGTAGCTTCCCTCTCCTAGAAATAGTAGTAGGCAGTAACTATATTAATAGCCATATTACGCCGGCGGAACTCTTCTTTAATAGTTATTCCCGGAAGTATTATTATTATCTCGGCTAAGTACTTCTGGATCAGGGGTATCTTATTATTCTCGTCTAAGGTAGTCTTTATATCCTGGCTAAGCTTGAGCCCAGAGAGCTACTGCTTAATCTTATTTACCGGGTATTCCAGATTCTAGCAGTCTTAAAGGTACTTGAGAAGCGCAGCTCTTAGCTACTGCCTGGTATTAAAGATTACATAGCCAATAATCCGGTATATGGGCTATTATATTACCGTACCCTGGAAGCGGTACTTTTACTTCTCCCGCTTTATAATAAGGCGGCGGATGGCGGGATCCTAATTAATAGACAGGGATTTCTCGGGTATAAGTTCTTGCGGCCGGTCAGGATTAATCTAGCGAGTTATCTAATAGGCCGCCCGTATTAGGTTATACTAAGGTTTATAGCCAGAGATAATAGCTCGAGTATTAGTAGTAACCTTCCGCCGGAGGTAGTACTTAATAAAGGTATTAATCTTAGTATATTACATAATTATATTCTAGAGCACATTACTTATATTACCTATCTATTTATAGTTAGTATGTCGCGCGGCGGGAAGGGGCGGGGTTACGAGAAGGGGGCTATAGGATACTCACTACTCTAGTTAAAGGCATTACTCATACTATATTAGAGGTAGTATAAACGTGTAATCTAGGGAAACCTAGTAAGTATGCCAAGCCGCTTTATTTATTTTAAGAGAGTCATATATAGTAATTACTAGTCAGGCGAGATCTCCTACCTATAGGGCATACTAATAGACTTGCAGAAGACGGGGATATTAGCTAGTTCCGGCTTTAGATATAAGGGCAGCTACTTATAGCCAGGCAAGATATCTAGCTCGCTAATTCTCTTAGCTAATGTGAGACTCGGGGCCAAGAATGCGTTATTAGTAAAAATGAGGCCCAGGAGAGTAACGTACGGACTAAGAACCAGAGACGGATTAAAGATAATCTCGGGAAGTAGAAACATATTCCTAGATTCTCTGTAAGCTATACGTCTCACTAGAATAGAAGAAAGGGTTAGGGGAATAAGAAAGGGCCCAGGTAAAACTTATACTTCTTTCGTACCAAGATACTTCTTTATAAACTCGTACGTAAACTTAATTAGGATCTAATAGAGCCTGCCACTAGGGTCCCGGAGCAGGTTTACCACAATATTACTATAGCGGAGGTTCAGGAGCACTAAAGGTCGGTTTCCGGAGAATATATCTAGCTTGCTAAAGAGGCTAGTCTCGATACGGTACTAGCCGTAAATATACCTCTGCTTTGTTATTATTAAGTTAGTCTATAGGATACCGGCCAGATCCTTAATATATATTACCGTATTATTATACTTCTTTATTATTAAGTAATATTTCTTTACTAGCTTCCTAAGAACCTGTAACGGAGGACATTTATTAGCCTCTTATCTGTAATTATTCGGACTGGATTAAGCGGGAAGACAAGAAGCACTACTTACCTAGTATATGTAATAGTTTACCTTTCCCTTAATCTTCTCCCTAGTTACTTGTTTATATATGAGCCGGAAGACCTTCTAGTATGTCCCGAATATACTAGCTAACTTAATACCGGCAAGCCTCCTCTCACTCTTCCCCTGATATTAATTTAATATCTATTTAAAGAAGGCCTTAAGGATATAGTAAGAGATAGCCTATATTATCCGGGCAGGATTCTTTTATATATATTTATAGTATTTATAAAGAAAGTCAGATTAGTAATTTAATAGTAAAAAATAATAGGCAAAAGAGGAATAGGGTATATACTAATAGAACTATCCCTTAATTATATTAAGGAGAAAGAGACTACTATTACTATAGTTCTTCTCTTTATTCTCGGATTCGTTAGAGTTATTCTCTTAATTAAGGTAGTACTTTAGCAAGTAGGCATTCTTCTCTCTAGTAATTTACGCCAGATCTGCCTTATTAATATTAGTATTAATATCTATTAGTATAGTATTAGTATTATCCTTACAAGTAAGCTACTCTAGATCTGGCAGGTCTGACTCATTATCTCCGTTAATATTAGTATTAATACCCGTTAGCTCGGTCTCGATATTAGTCTCCTCTTGCTTATTCCCTATATTAAAGTAGCTCTTAATATCTGACCTATTACTAGCGGAGGAGGAAGAAGAGCTTGGTATTAGTTATTAGTAATAACGCATATTAACTAGATTAGCTAAAGGAGATAATAGTAATAGTAATTAAAAGAAAAGAAGTAAGGCAGAAGATATTAAAGAGAAGCCTGCTACCCAAGTAATAGTAGCAGAGGGAGAGAGGAAAGGTAGAGTAAGAGAAAATAATAGTTAAGTATAAGAGGTTTAGAGAAAAGAAGATAGAGAAGGAAGAGAGGATAAGCAAAGATATAGGATAGCCACTATCTTAAGTTACCTAGTAAATAGTAGACATCTATTTTCTGCTCCCTAAAAAGGCTCAGGCTTATTAAAAAGTAGAAACGAGAACAGAAAAGCAGTTATTAATTTTGGGTGTTCCTATAGTCGGCTAGGGTCGTGCCGCCTTGGCTACTAGGTATACGAGTATTAGAGCAATGCGAGATTTTGGCAAGTCGGCTACTAAAAGCAGCGGCCAAACCCCCCCGAAAACAATAGCTAGTTCGCCGTCTGATTATTAAATATAGCTAAATAATTCCTTAAATAAGAGTATTTAGATTTCTTTTTAGAAAAAGAAATAATATAATAGCTAGTATAAAGATATAATTTATTAAAAATAGAATATTAGAAATAGATATAAAATAAAGCTAAGCCGGAATTACTTATATAAAATAATACTAAAAATTAAGGCATTTTTTCTATTTTATTTTATAATTTAATATTTTCTAATATATAAGATTCTTTAAACTTTAAATTCTTAATTATTATATTAATTCTATTATTATATTTTCTAAATTATTTTTTATTTATTTATATATTTTAGTATTTTATTATATATTTTTTTATTTTTCTATAATTATATAATTCTTATAATACTATTTATATAGTTTCTAAACTTTTAATTATTTTATTTTATTAAAAATTTACTAAAATTGAACTAGAATTACTTTTTTTATTATAAAAAGCTTTTTTAAAAGAATTAATTATTATTTTATAAATAAATTTTTTTAAAGAAATATTTAATTATTAATATAGCTATTTCTTTAAGAATTATATATATATAATTATAGAACTCGAAATATAAAATATAAAATATAAAATTATTAGTATAGCTATTTCTTTAGAAATTATATATATAATTACAAGATATAAAATATAAGATATAAATAATAGAATATAAGTAATAGAATATAAAATATGAGATATAGTTATATAACCTTATATTTTATTAGTAATTTAACTAGTAGACTAGACTTCTTTAGGCTTAGTAAATTTAGGAATTATATATTAATACTATAATATTATAATTTCTATTTCGGAATAATAACTTTACTAATTTATATAAATAGTATTTTATAATTATATAATAGTATTATATATTTCTAGTAAACTAATACTAATTAGTTTATATATATAAATTAGAAAGAATTAAGCTATATTTACCTAAAATTTAGTTATTTAGAAGCAAAGCTATTATTTTAGTTAAAGAAAAAATAACTATTAATTCTATTATCTATAATTCGGTTATATAAGTAAGAAAAATACTTAATTTTATTAAGGTTTAATTATACTATATTAAAAAAAGAATATCTATTAGTTCTATTATTTATAATTTAGTTATATAAATAAGAAGAATATTTGATTTTACTAAATACTAAAACAGTTAGTTATTTAATTATTCTATTTTATTTCTATTTAATACTAGAAATAACTTCTATAAAACTCTTTTAAAAAATACTTTCTTTTAAATTCTTGAAGTTCTTAAGCTTTAGAACTATTAAATTCTCTCGGAATCTCGATATTTTATTTCTCAAATTTCACTTCCTAAATTTCTTATTATAAACAAAATTTTTACTTTAAATATAATACTTTTTATAAACTACTTATCTTATAAACTACTTTTCTTTTTATAAATCTACTTTTTTTATAAACTACTATACCTCGAACTAAATATAAGCTTATAGAATATATAATAATAGAATATATTATAGTAAATAATTCCTTTATTAGATTTATCTAATTTAATTACTTTATATATAATAATAATTATAAGAAATTAGTAAAAAAGTAAAGATATAGAATTAATCTGAATTCTATTAGAATAAATAAAATAACTGAGTTTTTAGATACTAAGCTATTTTAATATATTTTCTATAAAATAGTTAATAATAGCTTTTAGAAGCTATTTAGATATAACTTTAAGGATTTTATTTATTAAGGGAACTTTAATAAGTTTAAACTTCCGGAAATACTATATCTATATAAGATTCTTTAATATAGTAATATATTTATATAATAGAATAATACTATTAATACTATTATAAATACCCTATATATTATTATAAAAAAAGATATATAATATATATAATTAAATAAAGATATATTAATAGCTAGACTAGATCTTATTAAGGAACTAATCCTATTAGGCTTTTATTACTTTTATAAAGAATAAGTATCTAGAATCTATTATTTTTAATATTTCTATATTATTATTTCTTTTACTATTTTTATTATTATTATATTCTATATTTCTATTAGATTTATATACTAATATAAAAGCTCTAGAAATAAATAATATACTTTTACTAGCCCTATTACTACTATTATAACTATATTTAAATAATCTCTAATTTCCTTTAATTATAAAACTTATTAGAGAAATTACTAAGATTTATATTAAAAAATAAAAATATAATAGATTTAATAGTAATTTTAATTATAAACTTACTATTTTCCTTAATATTTACTAATATATAAAGCTTTTATAAAAGGTACTAATATAAGCTTTTCTTATTATATTAAAGAAACTAGTTTAAACCTATTTCTATAGTAACTAGTTCTTTTAATATATATATAAAGAGGCTTATATTAATATTTATAGCTTTTTTAAAGGCCTCGAATTCAAATATCGAAATTTAGATATATAAAATACTACTATATTAGCTTTTATAATAGCTAAATTCCCGGAAAAAACAACTTTTAAAACTATTTAAT